GGGAGGAAGTAGGAGGGGAGATGTTGCATTGTGGTAAATTGTGGTCAATGTCATGAGACAAAGTGTATGTGAACTGCTGTATGGAAAGTGTATTTGCTCTGTAAATTTTCACCCAAATCACACACACACACACACACACACACACACAACACCTCACTGCCGTCGAGTGGGATCTGACCCATAGTGACCCCTCCTTGGGTTTCCAAGGCAGTATCAATACAGAAGTAGATTACCCAACCTTCAGAGTGAAATTGACATATCCTTCCTAGAAGGCAATTTGGCAGTATCAAAAACCCTAAAAATCTTCATGGTCTCTCATGAAGTGATTTAGTTATTCTAAGGAAATTGTCAAACAGTTGTTAGCTTCAGTGGAGTGACTCATGGCCCTGACTCATGGAGATCCTGTACACAGCAGATCAAAATGCTGCCCAGTCCTACTGCATATTGAATCCTTGTGATCCATCCAGGGTTTTCATTGGATGATTTTCAGAAGTAGATTGCCAGACCTTTTTTCATTAAGTGGGCTTAAAATGAAGAAAAATTATCATTTTTTTTCATAATGGCACTATAATTCAATGCAGCCAATACAAAATAATGATTAAAATTAATACCCTCCTGGTTCTTTCCCCTGCATTCCTAGCCACCATAATTTCCTGCTTGAATGATCCCCTGCCTCCTGTCTCTCCCTGTTGACCCAGTCTCTGTATAGCAGCCAAAGGCAAATCTAATCGTGGCATTTCCTTGTCTAACACTCTTGGATGGCGGCTCTTTGCAAAATCCTAAAATTAACCTCTCTCTTCCCTTCACACTCCAGTAATACCAGGCTCAACATGCTTCTCAGCTGGCCCTTGTACTGTTCTTTAGCATTTCACTGATAATCTCAAAATTTGGAAGGCTCTTCTTTCTCCTATTCTAACTATTCCAGTTTCAAGTTTCCATTTAAATTAAACGTCTCATGGAAAGAAGATAAGTTTCTCAAGAACCCTCTGACACCCACCCTGCCCCACAATGGTTAGAAATCATTCTATTCGGCCCTCTGACAACACCTTTCATTCCTTTTTTTTTTTGAGGGGGGGGCGGGTAGCTCTTACACAAGTGTTATTAAACATTGCTTTGGTGATTGCCATAGTTTTATACACACACACAAAAGAATCAATGGTCTTGAAGGAAAAAGTCCAAGCTGCACTGAAGGAATTGGCAAAAAATAAGGCTCCAGGAGTTGATGGAATACTTGTTGAGATGTTTTCACAAATGGATGTCGTGCTGGAGGCACTTACTCGTCTGTGCCAAGTAATCTGGAAAACATAGCTGGTCAACCAACTGGAGGATATCCATATTTGTGCCCATTCCAAAGAAATGTGATCCAACAGAATGTGAAAACTATCAAATAATATCATTAATATCACATGCAACTAAAATTTTGCTGAGGATAATTCAGAAATAGTTGTAACAGTATATTGACAGGGAATTTCCAGAAATTTGAGCTGGATTAAGAAGAGGACATGGAATGGTGGACAATATTGCTAATGTCAGATGGATCTTGGCTGAAAGCAAAGAATAGCAGAAAGAGGTTAACCTGTGTTTTATTGACTATGCAATAAATTGACTGTGTGGATCATAACAAATTATAGATGACATTGTGAATAATGGGAATTCCAGAACCCATTATAATGGGAATTAATGAGGAACCTATACCTAGACCAGAGGCAGTCATTCAGACAGAACAAGGGGATACTTCATGTTTTAAAATCAGGAAAGGTGTTTGTCAGGGTTGTATCCTTTCACTACACTTACTCAATCTGTATGCTGAGCAAATATTCAGAGAAGTTGGACTTTGTGAAGAACAATGCAGTATCAGGATTGGAGGAAGACTCTTTAACAACTTGCAATGTGCAGATAACACAGTCTTGCTTACTGAAAGTGAAGATGACTTGAAGCACATGCTGATGAAGATCAAAAACTAGTCTTCAGTACAGATAACCCCTCAACATGAAGAAAACAAAAGTCCTCACAACTAGACCAATAAGCAATATCATAATAAATGGAGAAAAGATTGAAGCTCTCATAGATTTCATTTTACTTGGATCCACAGTCAACACCCATGGAAGCATCCTTCAGGAAATCAAATGTCATATTGCACTGGGCAAATCTGCTGCAAAAGGCCTCTTTGAAGTGTTAAAGAGCAAAGATGTACCTTTGAAGACTAAGGTGTGCCTGACCCAAGCCATAGTATATTCAGTTGCCTCCTATGCATGTGAAAGCTTGAAAATGAGTAAGGAAGACTGAAGAAGAATTGAGGCATTTGAATTGTGGTGTTGGAGTAAAATACTGAAAATACCATGGACTGCCAGAAGAACAAACAAATCTGTTTTGGTTGAAGTGCAGCCAGAATGCTCCTTGGAAGCAAGAATGACCAGACTTTTTCTCACCTACTCTGGTCATGTTGTCAGAAGGGAACATTTCCTAGAGAAGACTATCATACTTGGTAAAGTAGAAGGTCAGTGACAAAGGGGAAGGCCCTTGATGATATGGATTGACACAGTGGCTGGGACAATGGGCTCAAGTATAGAAAGGATTATGAGAATGGCATAGGACCAAGCAGTGTTTGGTTCTATTGTACACAGTCTGTATGAATTGGAGCCAATTTGATGGCACCTAACAACAACAACAACAAATAATCCCATTTGCCTTCCTATCCTTGTTCAGCTTGAGTGTCTATGTAATGTATCCACTTGTAGATTATTGTTATAACTGTTATTGCAGGATTGCATACATAAACATCTTTAATATTTTATTCACTCAATATATATTGGGAAAAGCCAATTATTACTAAGCTCTAGAGCCCTCTCAAAATGAATATAGTCTTCAGCACAAGGAAGTACTGTGTGGTAGAAGAGGCAGATTATAAACATGTAACTATACACAATGTGAGAAATGCTGTATTGGAGGAGTGTATAAAAGTCCATAAGAGCATAGAGGCAAGGGCAAACCATTAATTTCAGTAAGGGCAAATAAGTACTGCCTGAAAGCAAAATTCCCAGAATGAAAGCACATAGAACAAAAGCCAAGCATTGTTTCATTTTTGAGCTTGGGTAAAATAAATAGTTTGGGGTCGCTATGAGTCGGAAACGACTCGATGGCACTTAACAACAACAAAATAAATAGTTAAGTCTCCATTCACCCAGTAAAAAGGTTCAGTTGGATAGAGCTATTTCTTTTCTTTTATGATTATCATTTAGACAGCCTCTTATAGGCAATGTTGCTCTTATTTTGGAAATAACAGTTGCCATATTCAATAGAGTATGGAAATGATTTTGTATATGTGTAACATAGAGTAAATAGTGGATTTTTAAATCATTTCAAAATGCGGAAGATATTCTCATTGATTTTACTGATTATATCTGTAGTGTATACTTGCAAAATATCAAACAACACTGACATATTAAAAAATAGATAGAATTTCTCCTTTAATCCAATCTCTGAGGAAGTATTACTAACAGGTATTTGTTTTTCCAAATTTTTATACATCTATTTTTATCTCACATATTTCTTACTATGAAAAATACAGTTTTTCATTTTTTTTCCAGCTAAACTAGAATATTTTGTAGATTAGGAAAACCTATTTATTTTGACATGAAAAGCTACCTATGATACAGTAGTAAATGGGTTGTTTTAAAACAGAATATCAATTATCTTTCATTGATATAAATACTTTGGGTTTAAATGTGGATTTGTTGTTGTTCATAATGTGCCTCTCTTTGAATTAAAATAAATGTTAGAAGGATACAAATATTCCAAATATTTTGCTGAAAATTAGTCTTTGATGCTCTGGATATGATTATTGAAAAGAAAAACTCAATATTACATTTCAAAGAGATTTTCCAAGAGGTCTTTATATTATGATATTTACTTTATAAGAGTAGAGGCTCATAAAACTTTCAGAAAAAGTTCATGAAATTGTGCCTTTGGTTTTCCAGGTCTCTAGACTCAGGGCTCATCAGTGCTTTGCAAGGCTTATCTGTCACAGACACACACCTTGTGGAAGTGGATGGGGATACCCTTTCCCTCTATGGCTCAGGAGCATTGGAATCTCTGGATCGGAATTGGAGTGTTCAAACAGCAGGAATGGTCACAACGGTCTCCTTCACTTTCATAGAATTTGATGAAATCGTCCAAGTGCTCCCCAAATTGAAGATTAAATTTCCTAATTCTCTGGTAAACATTTCCTTTAGTAGTATATTTCAGTTAGTCTCAGTCACGACTTGTATTTTCAGGCCAAAGATCTGTTTTAACTTTTATTTATGCAGTTTCTCTCAGGGAAGCTAAGCTTTTGAATAGATTTTCTGGAGCTGGGATTTAAGTTAGTGTTTATAAATGACCTTCCAGTTTTCAGTTGATAGGAGAAAATTTCTTTCTAAAAATGATTCTTTATGGAGTAAAGAGGATAGTATAAATTTATTCACGTTATATATTTCTACCTTATAAAACATTCAACAGGACCCTAAAGTACAAATTCATTTATTGATGGGGCATATGCATTTATTATACCACTTTTACAATAATCCCCTAACAACCTTTGGAATAATTTCAGTAATTTATTAAAATTACTTTGAGAAGTCAGCCTTCTCCAATTATGGTTTTATTATATTATAATTGGGAGCTCTGGTGGCATAGTGCCTAAGGCATTTGACTACTAACCAGAAGGCTGGTGATTCAAATCAACCAGCCACTCCTCAGAAGGAAGACTGGGCAATCTACTTCCATAGTGATACCACCTTGGAAACTGCTATGAGTCGGATCTGATTCGACAGGAGTGAGTTTTGGTTTTTGTATTATAATTAATATGCACTTGAGAAACTGCGATTTTCATAATGAGTTATCTCTTGAGTTTTTATTATAGTTGTGTTTTTCTCTGTTAGCCAAGTAATTTTCCTCACCTGTCCTTTTATGGTGTTTTCCTTATGCTACTTCATCCTTCCTAAAGAAGATGTGTAGAAGTGGAGCCAGTATGTTTAGAACAGAGCATTCAAATTCACAGACGGAAAACTTGCATTAGTGTTTTAGTTATAGTGATTTGATTTTCCCATAGCCAGTTTAACTAGCCTGCATAGTTGTTGGCAGGACACGGGTGATAATGGCTAAGTAGTTCTTCCCAGGAGCCTTGTCCTATGTTTAGAATATCCTAAGATTTTTATTTCCATTCTTTTCTTTGTAGTTTTAATGTCAGTGTAAAGGGTAAAGAATCTGTAATTCCTGCAAGAATCTGAATTATTAGATATTTATATAAATTTTAAGAATCTAAGTTTGTTAATAAATGAGGGGATAGCCTCCGCAGAAGAGAAATCATCCTCGAGTCAATATTAGATGAGTGACACATTAATGTTATATGAGTGTAGTATATTCAGTTGATTTTATCCAATTGAAAACATATTCATTAAGCCTAAAGTTTATACAGTTACTGAGGAATGATCTGTGAAGGTATAATGTTGATATTTTAAGATGGTTAAATGCATTGTTCAGCTCTTATTTGTGTTTTATTGCAGCACCTTAAATTCAAGGAAACAAATCTTGTAATGCTGCAGCAATTTAATGCACTAGCACAACTCCGTCGCATTGATCAGTTGACAATCGACCCTCAAGGAAATCCAGTTGTCAATTTTACACTCTGGAAATACTATGTACTATTTAGGCTGAGCCATTTTAGTATGCAGAAAATAAATGGAACAGAGGTAAGCAAAATACAAAGTGAGCCATAGAATAAATTTTTTTCCTTTTCAGGAGAAATGGTCATAAAAATGGTTAAGAGCTTAAATAATCATAATTTTACTGTTGAAATATATGTATGTAATCTTGACATTTAAAATGTCAGACAAGTAAAAATCTATTAACTCAAAATGTCTAAAGCACTAAACAAATTCTGAAAATCAATAATAACCAGATTATGATGAATAGTAAATATTTTTACTTTGTGAGTAATCAGAGAAGTAAAAAGTTAGTATGACAGAAAAAAGAACTCTTATATAAGTAATGTGATATTTGTATTTGTCAAATTGTTTTGTAAACTGCCTGACATGTAAAAGGGGATGGGGAAGTAATATCCAAATATCAATTAATAAAGATCATGGCAGAGGAAGGGAAGAATAAAATGGAAAACAAAAGTGACTATGCACAGGGAAGAAAAAGAATGATAAATGAAAAAAGAAATAAAAAGGAAAAATAAGATAGGAGGAAAGGTACAAGAAGGAACATGAAAATGAGAGAAAAAGGAAAATGAAATTAAAGAAGCAAAATAAACATCTGCTCTGCTTTGTTAACAGCTTATTACTGCCTGCTTCCTGTGGTATACTGCACTGGATAACTGGAAAATTATTAGTTAATTTTCAGATGGATTCTGCTAAACTTGTCACGAGAGTAATCCACTAGCTACTCGAAGATTTCTTGATTTCTTTAGATGTTACTTTGAAAGAAAAGAGAGAAACTAATGGAAGGTTGGGCAATCCTACTTCCGTAGTGATACTGCCTCGGAAACCCAAGGAGGGGTCGCTATGAGTCGGGGCCGACTCAACGGCACATAACAACAACAACTGAATTTAAATCATCTTTCAAATAGGAAGTATTTGAAATGTTATAAAGGAGCCCTGATTGGACAATGGTTAAGCACTCAGCTGTTAACTGAAAGGTTGGCTGTTTGAACCTATTTAGCCCATGCTGCAGGAGAAAGACCTGGCATCTGCTTCTGTAAAGATCACAGTCTTTACAGGGGCAGTTCTGCTTTGTCACATGGGGTTGTTAGGAGTCAAAACCAAGTCAATGGCACCTAACAACAGTAACAACAACATGTTATTAATTTATCTTATCTTAATTTATGTTATTATTTTATCTCTTGAAATTCATAAGACCTCCTTATTATAAGAGGAACTGTAACCAACTTTGCCAGCACAGTAGTAATAGCAAGTGAGTTTTCCTGCAGCTGATAACACTGTAGGTACCTCTGGCCTAGAACTCCAAAATCCCAGGATACTGTTAGGATGCTGGATGTCTCTCAGCCAATCTATGGGAGCTATCTAGAAATTTGCATCAACAGTGACTGTGATGACTGTGATTAAAGCATTGGGCTGCTAACCAGAAGGTTGGCGGTTCAAACTCATCAGCCGCTCCACAAGAGAATGATGAAGCAATCTGCTTCTATAAAGCTTTACAACCTTGGAAACCTTATGGGCATCCCTATAAGTTAGAATTGACTCAGTGGCCATGGGTTTGTTTTTGGGTTTATGACAGGCCCATGACCACAGTATCAGCCATCTGTTGAAGATGTGAGGCAGATCTGGAACCTTCAGATGACTATTAATTTCTCCAGGTGGTTCTCAAGAGATTTGATTCAATCTTGATCTCTTGAAACATCCCCAAAAAGGTTGTGAGTCCTTGGAAGAACCTAATAATTAATCCTAAAAATATCCTCGGACTAGAAGTGGAATGGTTATTTTGGCTATGGATGAGTGTTCTCCTTCATTAATGGCTGAACTCTTACCCTGATTAACCCTAAATAGTACATTTACTGAGACATGGATCATTCACTGGAGAATACCCCATTTTATAAAACTTTGAAATATGAGATAATAGTATAATATAATTAGATAAAGTAGAGAAGAATTAAAGAACCAATATGATTTATTGTGATTTAAATTTTTGAAAATGTTCCTAAAACCAAACCAAAATCACTATGATTCCAACTCATAGTGACCGTATAGGACAGAGTAGTGTTGCCCATAGGGTTTCCAAGGCTATAATCTTTTTTTTTTTTTTTCTCCTTTTCTCTCTCTCTCTCTATCTCTCTCTCTTTTTTTAATTGTGATTTGGGTGAAAATTTACAGAGAAAATTCACTTTCCATACAGCAGTTCACATACTTTGTCTCATGACATTGACTACAATTTACCCAATGCAACAGCTCCCCTTCCACATCCTCCCGATAGTTACCTCTTCCCTGTGTCCATACCTCCATGCACTCCTGCCCCCTGAGCTGTCTCCCTGTGCATAAACAGCTCTTCATTCTCCCATGATTGATCTCTCCAAGGAGTGTGTCTACCTTAGGTAAATGTTCAACTCATATGCCTGTCTTTTGTTTGGCTGGAAACCACAGGTGTGGGTTCAATTCCAGACCTAAAGGGCAGCTAGGGGCCATAGTCTCAGTGGTTCCATCAGGCCCTATCAGACCAGCAACCCTATCAGACCAGCAAACCTGGTCCCACCTCCCCTTTTTTTTTTTTCACCAAATGATTAGGAGTTTTGTTCAACATTGTTCTCCCTCTCTATCCAGGATCTCCTACATAGATCCCCCTCCGAGTGGTTGACAGTAGTAGCCGGGCACCATCTAGTACTTCTGGTCTCATAGTTGTATAGGCTGCGGATCGCATGGTGTACCAGTCAGTAGGACTAATTGTTTCCATGAATCTTTGGTTTTCTTCATTCTTCTTTGCTCTGGATAAGGAGAGACCTATCATTGCATCTAGATGGCTGCTTGCAAGGTTTTGTGTGTGTGTGTGTGTGTGTGTGATTTGGGTGAAGATTACAGAGCAAATTCACTTTCCATACAGCAGCAGTTCACACGTACTTTGTCTCATGTCATTGACCACAGTTTATCACAATGCAACAGCTCCCCTCCCACTTCCTCCCCATAGTTACCTCTTCCCAGTGTCCATCCCTCCATATACTCCTGCCCCCTGAGCTGTCTCCCTGT